TGCTGCAATTGACAAAAGCACACACACACACACACATAGGAGAGGATTATTCAGCCTATGTCAAGATTTTTCTTTCTCTCAAAGTATTTTTATTAATGTACCCAGTTTGAAGTATTTTTTCAGCCAAGTACCCTACTGACAAGAGACAAACATTTTTAGTAGAATGTCTCAATGCAGGACGACGACCAGCTAAGCTGCTGGAAGTCCAAACTGAAAGTGAAGATTTTCATGCAATATATACCTTTATTTAACAAGCTTTCGCTCTATCTGACCTTCATCAGAACATACAAAAAAAATAAATAAAAAATGCTCTGATGAAGGTCAGAGCTTTCAAAATAAGGTGACATATTGCATGGATCTAAGTGTGTCACTTTCAGTTTGGTAGACCGTATTACGAAAAACACTTAAATACCACATTTTAAATGTTAGAATCCATCACTAAATGATTTGTCATCTGGTGTCAGGCAGGCAACTGCAGTGATCATACTCTTTTCCAGAGGTTTTACTGCAGTTGATAGTTTACCGCAATTAACGATTGCATTGAATATAGGAATATTTAGATGTCTCCTTAAAGAGGTATCTCTAAAAACTATGTGCTTCGGGGGCTTTTGGGGGGTTAGTTGGTGTTTTTTGAAATGGCACTGTAGGATTATATTGGAGAGCTACATTCAGGTAATCAGATTACCCTGCTTGTGGGTCCCAGAAACCAACCAGTAAGTCTACACTGGAATAGTTCTGTGCTCCAGGTTTACTGTGTGTTAATTAGTTTGTGTGAATTTGATCAAACACAAATTTGTTTAAGATATGCACCACGTGAACATAATATTCATTGAAATATTAAAAGGTGTTGATCCCTCGAGATTGCGTAAAAAGGCTGGAGCCACTTTAGGGACCTTAGTGTATGCGTTTTAATTGTGCTTCAGTTGGGCATATTACCAAACAAATTTGTAATTAATAAAATTACCATAAAGTAATTGCCACACAGACATCCTAAGAAAGTTGAAGTGGTCGACTAAATACCATCTACAGTATGACAGAGGCATGTGGCCAAGCGAATCGCTACAGGTGTGCATGAGATGTACACCTGTAATGATTGACTCCTTTTCACTGCAGACAATTTGAAAGGCCCAGGTGTTACTAACATTAACAGCTGCTAATGACAGTGAGCCAGCACGGACGATACCAGGACACCGAGACTGGGACAGCTAAATGGAACTCAACCATCACCCATGCTTTTGTCAAAATATCTGTAAGTTTATCTTTCATCCATTTTATCCCACAGAACAACAACAATACAAAACGTGAACACTTAAAATGCAGGACATGTACACTTGAACATCATTTAATTTTTAACATCATGTAATAACACCGCATTGTGTCATAACTTCAAAAAATGTAATACATTTTCCACTTTATTATGTAATAACACACATTTTGTAATCAACAGCAAGAACGCAATATGTAATATATTTCCTTGTGTTTTGTAATAAATTATTACATATTGTGCTGTTTATTCCAAAATGTAGAACTTTTTTTATGATGAGAATGGATGTCTTCATCTGTAAACATATTATTTTAAATTAATCTTAAATTAAGCTTCCAAAATATTATCTTAGACAACTCTGACAGGACTCTGTGACTCTGATCTTATGCCAAACTAAGGGAGTTCATGTCAAACACAGACTTGGAAAAACTCATGTTTTTATTTCTTGCAGGGTTAACTACTTCAATGGTCAAAAGACCATCAAAAATCTTCCACTGATTCAAAATGCAGTTCATAAAAAAGGTTAAACTCACACATTTCGTAATAGCCACACACATACAATATGTAATAATTTATTTAAGAATGTGGGACATTTTATTTCATATTGGGTTCAGGCTGCTTATTACAAAATGTGGATGTTATTACATAATGAAGTGAAACTTTAACATTGTGACACTATTACATTTTGCGGTGTTATTACATAAGCACCAACAACTTACTAGACTTACACTGTCCGATGAGCTTGCAGGGGCGAATCCTCTCTATGATATCTACACAGATGAGGGAGAAAAGCACCAAGGAAACGGGCAACTCAGTGAACTGGTCGAGCTTGTGTCCTCTGTCCACCTGCACCTAGAGTACAACCGCTCACATTAAAATTAAATGCAAATTCAATAGCAGAAAGAACTGATATGCCACTGAGAAATCATGAGGGATGAAGCAGGAAGAAAACTGAATCGAAACTCTTCATTATGGCATTTGGCTGGAAAGAGGAGCTCCTGCATTCCAGGTTTTATTAAGCCATCTGATTTTATTACCCCATCATTTCAGACATTAAGATGCTGCTGAATGCCCTTAACACAAGATTAAGAAATAAACTCACACATATGAGTATGTCTGACAAGTTTTTGCGGCCAGATACTCTTACTTATGTCCTTGCTTGTCCAGAAATAAAATATCACATATGTGTAAAGATAATAGTTTTTTTTTTTTTTAGAGTGGGCGTATTGGTGGTGGATGGTATTAAAGTTTGGGTTAATGGCCAACCTGTTATGTTCGCTGTGAGTTACTGAATACCCCAGACAGAGAGTACAGTCTTGTGATGCTGGACACATTTCCTCTGCCTTTTTCTCTTTTACTTGTGATGGTGCCAAAGTCCTTCTCAGTATATGGTGAGAAAATATTTGGATGCAGCTTCAAGAAGCAAAATCTCAAGAGACTGAGTGGAATTGGTGACAGGCAATCTTTTTCTTTCTCTATGGTGCAATGTGCCGTGTCAGCCATCACTCAGTGAATAATTATAGCGCTCTAAACACATTCTCTTATACAAGGGGGCCATAAAACCAGTTTGTGCCACAAATGGACTGTTAACAACAAATATGCCTCCTCAAGGACCCCGTCAGAGCATGACAGAGCAAAACATCAACAGGTGCTCCCTGGGTGACAAGAACGATCACTTTGGATGACATTACCTTGGAGCTTGCTATTAAAATAGCAAAGCACGGAAATGTACACAGGATGATATATGCCAGCGCTGTTGGTCTCCTAGAAAACAAAACAGGTTGTTTTAGTTCACATTTAAATAACGTGTCATCCCAGTGTGATGAATAATTGCTCCGCGCTGATCCTATTCTCAACGTACTGTATATTCTTCATACCAGACCAAGTAAGGCTGTAGCACTAAAATGCCTGAGTGTGTAGAATTGAACATTGTTGTTTTAAATGTTGCATAGGCTCACTTTAAGATTATACATACAAAACATATGAAATGTGATGCTTTGTTAAAGATTAACAGGACAATATAAAGTAGTTACAATTAGCTAAACAACCATTTTAACTCCAGGGTTCATTTTTCATCACACTTTCATTTTTGATACTTTGTTCTGATAATATTTAAGAGCCTCCGTTTTTTCTTCCACTAACTGCACTGTATTTCAAGTTTCTGGGCCCAACGTCCCAAATTTGTCTCCAAGGATTTGTGCTCTACAGTCAATTTGACTTGTTCACTCTGTCATCTCTCATTTGTTTTAGGTAAGATTCTTTATCTGGTACATGTAGATACTTAATCACTGTGACACTGACTAAACCACTTCCCCACAGCTGTACTCACCACTGTGTGATCTCTGAGACGAACGTCCTCCGCTTCAGGATCAGATACTTCAGAGGAACCCACACCAGCAGGGTCACAGAGGTCACATAGGCGATAGAGGTCGCCACAACTAGCCAGTAAGCTGTTAGATCCCCTCCTTTCACATCACGTATGAGGCTGGCAAACCTCTCCATAACCACAAAGATGGGTACGGTAAGGGCTGCAAACTGCAGCACCTCATACAGGATGAGCTTGACCGTCTTCCCAGAGGGCATGGTCTCTGAACTCCAGTTGCTGGTCTGAGCTCAGAGCGAAAGACTTTGACAATCATCTCCCACGAAACGAGCTAGTCGAGCCGTTGGACTCTGCACACTGACATTGCTTACACTGCACTGGAGGCTGTATTCTTTTATTGCTGAGGTAATGAGGTGGTCATGCTCACCTTTTTATGGGCTCACAAAGAAGAGCACTCCTATCCCATAATTTCAAGGAGAAAACTACCTGAACCTACCTCTGAACTATACACAAGTTCTGGAAAAAGTGCTTGATTACATTGTGACCAGTGTATGTTTTAACTGATGTTCTTTTAGGTGAATGAAATAATAAAGAACAAACTGAAAAATAAAAATTGATAATATTTAAATCTACAAACTTTCTGCAGGATTGCAACAAAATTTAATGTGTATTAAATTAATGTGAAATTCTCAATAATTCCCCACCACTTTGAAAACCACAGTGACATGCTCAACGGCCTTGCCTGCTTCGGTTGGGCACTTTACAAAATTCAATTTCTTCCATCTTGTAAGGTCTGAAATACATTGATCTCCATCTAGTGGCAAGGCATAGGAATCTGGTATCAAGTGATAAACATTATTCTAGCTAAAACATAAAAGTTTTTTTTAGAGTTTTGGGGGAAAAAATCTATTGCTAGTATACGCAGTTGCTAGTTTGCTAGCTACATCTAACAAACAGTACACAGGTTATAATGTTCAGTTTTGGTTGGAACTGTCATTGATTCACCCGTGTGATTATTTTAAAGGATGCAGTTTTAGCTAGAGTGGCAACTGAGTGTATAATAAGACTTCAAAAACTCAGTTATTCTGCTTTATCAGGATTGTGTGGGTTGATTACATCTGATTGACAGTGGACTAGCAACATAGGCAAACAACCCCAAAACTGTCATGGAAATATGTGACAACACCTGTTTTCCAACTGAGAAAAGCAGAAATAACCAAAGCTGTTCTAAGAAAGCGTGTTTACGTAGGACCCATCGCTCAAGAGTGAAAGCTGAAAATATATGTTTTAAGGGCCTTTAAAATCTTCTGAAAATGCCTCTCATCAGTGAAACTCTGTTAAATATAATGAAATAAAAACACTTAATCTATCGACAAAGTGCTCGAAAAACAAGAGAAACAAGAAAACAAGGCCTTTCATATTATTCTGTACATTTGGCCTGGTTTTATTGTGAATATCAATTAATAAGTATGGTTAAAAGAATACATACAAACAGCAGGGTACAAGTTTAGACAGAAATCTTACAATAATGATGTTTTTAAAACTTAAAAACAGGCAGCATCTCAATCCTGTGCAATAAAGTTACATCGGGGCTGCAGTCCACCACTGTGGCGCAACAGGATGTTACATTTGGATGATGTGTGACGATTAACTGGCTCCTGGTCCCATAGTCCCAGAATAGCTGCTACTTTTGTATTTCTGATATTTTCAGCCCTCTTTGATCCAACAGGTTAACACTTGTATTTAGTTGAAGGCAGCAAAAAAGAATAATCAATCAACTGTATTAATGCCAAAATCAACTTCCGGGGGAATCAAATTACCTCTTGTGAGCAAAGTCCCAGATACCAAGCTTAAATTGTGGGTTGTTTTTATATTCTTAAGGCGGCACAGGGATGACAACGAGGAACACATTTGAGACCTAGTATTTCAAGAGAAATTGAAATAACACAAATTTACAGTCAGATCAACACACCAATTTGCCCTGCAACTGGAAAATGTAGTAACTATTTCAAACTGTTATTCCTTCATGTAGCATCATTCAATATTATACAACAGATAAAATATTTTCCTGTTTCATCAGCTTTTTTTGCAATCCAATCAGCAGTTGTAAACATCAACTCTTTCCCAAAAGACGAAAACATGTAGTATTTAAAGTATGTAGTAATATGGAGAGCATATTTCGTATTTCGGATCAATATTTGATCTGAAATGCCTTAAAGTGTCACTGTAATGGATAGCTAAAGGAGATCTTGGGGAAAAGAGGTGTTTACAAATCCTGACTGCACTTTCCAGAATCATAGGAACCTCATTTCAGCTCTGCTTCAGGTAGAATTTGTTTTAGTGTAACAGCTCTGAGAAAAGGACAGGTTTAAAATGCATGGGGAGGTTCAATCAGTTTTTCACATTACCATTTTACCCTACAGTACAATAAGCATGTATCAAACACAGAGAAATGTCCATGTTCTCATGAGAGCGATTTAAATATACAACTAAGTTTGGCAGAATATCACATATTCCGCTTTTCTCTGAATACATACATCCTGCACTGCTTCTCCATTTAAAATAGCATAACAATAATCAAAACATAAATTAAAATGCACTACAAAAACCATAGTATTCATTTTTCAACACTGACTAAAGAGATGCTTTAAAAAGACAATGGGGCTGTTCAGAGAGTTCGCCCCTTAGTAGCCAGGTCTGTGGTACGAGTTAGTACAGCCCCTGAATGGAAACAGAGCAAGCCCTACATCTACCAACAAGGATCTAGAGCTGCTCATTTTAAAAAGGAAAACTCTGCAGTATGAAGTAAGGAGTCAATCATGTTACGAAAAGAAAAAAAAAAAAGAGAAAAAAAAACACATCTTGTTTTCTGGCATGTGAGGGATTTTTCACTTTGTTCTCTTTGGCTTTTACACCTTTAATTCAGCAGGGACATCATGGCTGCAGAGTTCACCTTTAAGGCTGAGAGAAACACTCGGGGTTGTGCTAACATACGTACAGCCCACCCATGAGGTCATCATGTGGCTTCACTACTAGTTCAGTACAGTATATACAAGAGTCATGTGCATGCTTAAATTCCTCTGGTTTCTTTTCCCTCCAAAACAACAAAGTGGCTTCAGTTTTCAGTACTTCTAAAAATTAGACGACATATACAGGATGTAGTAGCCTAACGTTTTCAGCATCGCTAAAAGTCCTTTTTCTGATTAAAAAAAACAAAAAAGGGAAATGTAAGTCGACGCTCCATTTTTTCTGTGACATGATTAGCAGTTGCTTTACGTGAGTGAGAAGGCTGCGGCAGGCTGTGGATCTCTCTCCATGTTAGTGTGTGAGTGAAGGTAAATTATCGCATACTGTTGTATGTGTGAGCCAACTGGTGCAACTGTGAGTGTGTGTCCACTGCTGTACACCTGCCTGTAGTGTGTTTGACTATCGTGTGTGTGTTTGTGTGTGTAGCTCTGGATGTGCATGTTGAGGGGTGGTGTGAAGGAATGTCTGTGTGTATTTCACACTTGATCAAATAGTAATTGCATATATTTTTTGTGGTTCGGTTGAAGTGGCTACAGTTACACTTGTTTTCTCAAAGCAATTCTGGTAACGTTTTATTTAAGAGCTCTGTAATTTCTTGATTATTTCTTAGGAAGTTTCCAGGAAAGAATTGATTGGATTTTTAAATCCAAATTTATAATTAATTAATTAATAATAATAATAATTAAATTTATAAAATATAGTAAAGTAATTCATTTAAATTAATTGCTTGTGTAAGCTAAAAACTGTTGAGTCAGTAGTACACAGTAGGTCGGCTGAACCTCCATAAATCTATACTTTATAAAGAATAAAGTTTCCAATAATAAATGACTAATGAATGATTTGGGTTCTTGGGTTTAAATAGAGCTCTCCTTTTCATCAACAACTGCTTATAAATTCACCTAAAGTCAAACTAAAAGAACTTCCTAACTAGCTTCCCCTATAATTTGTACTAAACTATGTAGTTTTTTTCCAAGAAACTTCCTACAAAATTATTTAAAATATTGGTCTCATAAACTAAAGCATTACCATCATTTTTTCCAATAGTCCTATTATAAAAATGAAGCAATCCATGTCAGGTCTCGTACATATATAAGGACAATGCATATTGCGATCAGATCTAGATTTTGAAGTGATCAGGCTTGAATGATGACTAAAAGTGCAACTGAAGATAAAAGTGCGACTGAAAGCGCCTCGCGTTTTCGCATCTGAGTCATGTAACGCCACTGAGAAAAGCAGAAAGATGATCAATTAAAGTAAGTCCTAAAAGAACACGTGTGTCCATTTACAGACCATGTGTGGCTTGGTGTTAGCTCTTCAAATCAAACCCTTGTGATCACTTCAAAACCTGGAGTTAGAAGTGTAACTATATTTTTTTTAAGGTTAAGTCTACTCTATTTGAATTTTTCCATCCATCTGGTGTTTCACGATAAAACTAATTATAAAACATAATAAACAAAATTATCTACGACCACTATTTGATCATGTCTGGTAGGTGTATGCGTGAGGATTACAGTGAGCTCNNNGGGGGGGGCCCTATAGCAAGGCTTTCTCTGAGTAGGGGGCCTGTGAGTGGTCTGAGGAAGGTGCTATGCTCATGCCGGAGGGGGTGCTGTAGTTTGGCGTCTGCGTCATGCCTGCGTGAGTCGGGCCTGGGGCGCTGGCTGGGTTCTGGTAGGACTGTACGTCTGCTGGGGCCATGCTGCCTGGACCTGCAGTGTAGACTGGCGGCTGGCCCATGTACATATGAACGTCACTACGGAAAAGAGTGAAGCAACATTCATTACAACACTACAAATTTAGATTATACTGAATTTATCAAGACAACAGGTTATGAAAGAAGCATGGAGTTGGCATTGAGAGCAAAAAGAGGGAATAGATGAGAAATCAGTTGGGGTAAATAAAAGTTAAAGTGGCCGCTATTTGAGAATTTACAGTACTAGGTTTTCATTGGAATTAGTAAATGGGTAAATGCACTGTACATGTAAATACAAAGTACAGAAATGAGTAAAAAAAAGTAAATGAGAAAGTGTTTTGCCATTTTAAATTGTCTTTTCTTCCTTGGTAAATACAGGACACAATGTACAGCAAAGTTTGATAATGTCAACAACTTGTAATGTTCTTTATTGGACCAGAATAACGAGCCACTGGGGTCTCTGAAACTCACCCGGGAGCTGGCTGACCAGGTATAGGGGTTCCAGCTGGAAGCTGCTCCATGGGAACAGTGTAACCCTGCACCGCAGTACTACTCATGGCATACGAACCTGATGCAGGCTGACCAGGGTAGACCTGTAATCACAAACATGCACAGAGCACATACTGAGTGTTAATGACGGAGTGAGTCTGTGGAAAGTATATAAATATTCAAATCAGTACCATGGTAAAATAGTAGGTGGGTAAAGTCCTACAATTCCTGAATTCTTTACATCCTTGCAAAAAGCACAGTTCTTCATTCTTTTAATGTTATAGCAGGGTGCATTTCTCAAAAGGGTGCATTTCTTTGGTAGTTTTGGGTTGGTTTATGAGATTTGTTCTGTAGTTCAGCCCAACATGGCAGTACACAATGACATTCTTGGTCTCAGAACATACATTTGAAATGGGTTTAAAAGCAACAACTTAAATAAAACATGGTTACCCTTGTTAATCCTTTTACTGAAAAAAAAAAAAAAATGTTTTACTGTGTTTTTGATCAAACTGCCCCTTTAAAACCTATGAAATTGTGCACATTCACAGTTTTGCTAGCACAGAAAATTCACTCAAAACAGTCACTCCTTTGGTATGCCTGGGTCCCAGCTATGACAGGTTGACTGTACCTGTTGTGCTGCGCTGGCAGGCTGCTGCTGCATGTAGTACTGTTGGCTCTGCAGCTTGGCGTACATGGCGTAAACTGGATCTTCATTCATTAGCTTGGCATACAAAGAAAGACCTTCCATCACCTTCACATTCAGCTCTGACAGCTCCGAGTGCTTCCTGATGATACAAACCCACACAAAGAAAGATACATTTATTTAAATATTTATGGAGTGCTTGAAAGTGTTACATGTCTTTGTCTGGAATATTCATCTTTAAATTCTTCACTTTTCCTTGTGTTAAAACCTTCTGTAGTTTTTTTTGTGGGCAAAACAAGCCAGCACAACATACCTGTCTATATCCTCCAACTTCTGGTCAATGAGGGGTCCCATTTGATTGCAGGCACCTGAGGAAAAAGATAACAAATAGACACCTGTAGTTAACATCAATCCACTTTTATAAACCTAAATCATGCCAGGTTAGCTTATGTATACTGACATTGACTTTTGTCTAACTCACATTCACTTACTTTAACCCTAAAAGCAGTTTACCTTCCAACTGTAGTAACTCAACACTGTCTGACTGGTTGTCTGTGGGATCTGCACTCTGGATCATCTGCAGTAGCTGGTCCATTTTGTCCTGAAAGATTTCAATAAAGTTTCTGTGTTCTTACACTTTCCATGTAAATGTGATGATTGAATTTTTCAGTCAGCAGTTGAAGATTTTTAAATGCCAGACTCTTTATTTTAGAACAAAAGTATTTATTTATTGATGCAACAGTGAGATGTCAATGAACAAGTTTCATAAGCAAGGGTTCACAAAAGAGAACTTACCTCGTCTATATACACCGGCTCTTGTTCGGGCTCTATGGTCTCCACCTGAATCTCCTCACTGAACTGTACTGTCTTCTTCTCTGTCTTCACTGTAGATTTCCAAGTAACAGCGGATGCGTTAGCAGCAACACCATGCAACAGTAGCAATCAGTTAAACACAAATGAGAGGTCAGGATGCGCTGACTTGACATCCAGCAACAGTCCAACAGTAGCACAAAAGATTACAATCTGATACAAGCTACTGACTGATCGCCTTGAAGAGACACGTTCATATTTGTTTCGTTTACAAGTCATAAGCTGTTATCATGTTTCCTGAGTGAAAGTGTTTTATGCTAATGGAGGAAAAAATTTAAATAACAGCATGCATGCAGAATCAGTGATTTGAGGGATGACACACTTGTAGAACAAACACTTGGATGTAATTAAGAGGCGTGACAAACTCCCACCAGACGGCAACAAAGCAAAGCTGATAACAGTGAAAACCATGGAATCTATTATGCTAGATGATCAACGCCTTTCTGTGAGGATTTGACAATTTGTTGAACATAATACATGCACACTAACAATATGAGAATATACACCAAACCTAAAGTAAACCTTTAAAAACAGCGATGAGTTTTACAACTGAAATTTGAAACATAACCACAACTGGCAGACAACTGCACACAGACGAGAGTTTACTTTGAAAAAAGTGACACCAGTGAATAAACAGGCCAAACATTGTAGAATGCATTCAGGCAGCAAGGAAAGAGATCTTGATGCATGCTTTAAAAAGGGAACGGATCATACTACGAGCTATAAGACTAGCATATAAATGGGTTATTAACAGGTCAGTAATTATAGAAGAAAAAATATTCTGTAATACGGCAGACACTAAAAGTTATTGTATCAGTTATAAAGATGGAAAGGACAAGGACTGTATAAGGCTCTCTCTGATAAGAGGAAATGTGTCCAAAATGCTATCAGAGCAATTCTTGTATGACTTCCTAGAAGTACAGGCAGTGTTGTTTATTTATTGCATGTGATAACCAAGTGATGATTTTCTGTCTATGCAACCAATATCTTGATTGTACTGTGTTCTTTATGTTTCACCAGCCGTTAGTAAGTAATAAAAGTATTTCCGACTCTAGGATCTATAAAGCAGTAGTGCTAATGGACTAAATGGGCTATGAAAGAACAAGAGAGGGCATAAGTGGATAAAGGGTGTGTTTTGTGTGTGTGTGTGTACTCACTCATCTCAGGCTCTGCAGTAAGGTCAGCTGTGACAAAGTTAGAAGGGAACAACCCCACTCCCTGGTATGTTTCCCCTTTCCACCAGTTGGGGTCACTGAAATAAAGAAGGAAAACCCTAAAGTAATCAGAAACTTCAATACAGATTTAAGTTGTTATGTTCTCAGTTCTGCATCAAAATCTCAGATGAAAGATTCAACACATTAGATAAGGAGATTATTTCACTAGTTCATTTGCACTGTTTCTTCAAAACATCAGGGTTTTTTTTTTCA